ACCGAGGACATATTGCACAACACATGGAGCTCTACCCGTGTTACGTGCCAGCCTGGATGGTGGGGAGGGGTAGGGGGAGAATGGATCCTTGCCTCTGAATGACTGAGTCCCTTCCCTGCTCACCTGAAGCTACCTCAATATTCTTCATCAGCGATATCCCAAGACGAAATAGAAAACTTAAAGTTTCAAATGAGAAAGATCTTACAGTGGAAAAAGAAAGATGAGCAGAGCCTTGCTGCGGTAACACACAACCTCATGATTTTAGCGGCTTACCAGGACAGAGGTTTAGTTCTCACCCTTCATATCCACTGCAGCTTTTCAGGAAGCTCTGTTCCAGGTTGTTATCCTTAGAGACCCTGGCTCCACCATCTGGGACGTCACCAGTTCTCACAGCTGGGGAAGAACCCAGCAGAGCATCTCACACCAGCAGGTCACTGCTCCGACTCGGAAGTGCGATGCGTCCCATCTGTCCACAGCCCGCTGCCCTGTGTCATCCTACAAATGCCCAGAGGAGGAGGACCAGACACGCTGCGGAGCATTTGCTGCAATGGTGTTTTGCAGTAGACTCAGGAAAACACTCCAGCATCTGTCTGACAGGTCTTTCATTCCATCATGTCCTGGGAAGTCAGGTTTACAGAGAATCACTGTCTAATTCTCTCCCCACTTTTAGCCCTCCTGAGAGGCAGGGTGATGCCCTGGAAGGAGCCCTAGACTGGGAGTGAGGGGTCCAGATTTGATTCTTGCCTTTGTTCCTATTCTGCTCCATGGGCTTCGTTGAGTTTCTCCTTGTGTGAAATGGAATTATTCAATCTGTGGTTTCTTATACTCTGGACCATCCCTGAAACATTCCCTCATCTTTCTAGCAACTTCCAACCCAGGTTAATGTCATATCCGTTTCATTGGCTGGTAAATCTAGTTTGAACCATTTCATTCTTATTTTAAGCTTCAGACATGATTGTAAAAGGAAGCTGAGGAGCACAAGAAGAAGTTCCTGTTAGAATGACCCAGAAGGTCCCGCATCTGGATTCCTGCATCAGTCCACACTGACGGCAGAGCTGGTGAGGGTGGGCTTTGGAGTCAGACCGCCAAGCCCAGGTCTGAGACCTGCCACTTGCTAAAGGCTTTCTCAGTCTCAGCCTCCTTACCTGTAGGGATAAGAATAGTATTTCCTTGTGGGGCAATTTTGAGGATTCAGTGAAAGGTCTTAGCACTGAGTTTTGCACAGGGTAAGTATTCAGTTAAGTGGTAGTGGATATTACAGTATCACTTTGTTCCCTTCTCCAAGCAGGTATTCTGATTTCTGTATGATTAAAAAGATTTCAGGAGACTAGTTAATGTGCTAGATGGATTCTCCTTGCCTCCTACCTGTTGGCCCAGTGACCTGGGTGTCGGCAGGTGGCTGAGCAGATGACAGGTGTGGTGACCCAAGGCTGGGGAGAGCAGAGTGAGGAGTGCTGAGTGCATTCCCAGCAGACACGCTGTGCTGGGGTGGGCCAGGATCGAGGCCTTGGGCCCCTGAGGCCCAGCCTCCTGGTCCCCTGCGCCGTAGACATCTCTCCTGCTCCCTGCCTTCGGGGACCTCACGGTCCCTGTCCAATTTAAAGTTCAGACTCTGCAACAACACAAGTTTGCAGACTTGGCACGATGCGGCTTCAGAGACCCCAGCTTCCCTGCGCTGCCCCAGGAGGGCCTGGCTGGTGAGGTGGGCACAGGGGAGACACCAGACAGGAATCTGAAGACCAGGTCTCCCTGCAGCCCTGCCCCTTGGACCTGAGTCTTGGGGGCTATGAAATGGGGTGTCTCCTTCCAGGAGTGCTGTAGGGACCTGTGCTCATGAGAGGTTGTTGGTATAGTTTAGTCGCTAAGGTCTATCTGACTCTATTTGTGAGTTCTGTGACCCTGTGGACTGTACCCACCAGGCTACTCTGTCCATGGGTTTTCCTACAAAGAAATACTGGAGTTGCCATTCCCTTCTGCAGGGGATCTTCCCAACCCAAGGATCGAATCTGTGTCTCCTGCACTGGCGGGCGGGTTCTTTACCGCCGAGCCAGCAGGGGAGGTTAAGGAAAGGGATTGCTCTACAGGATGAGCCCTGGGCCCCGTGACGGATGTGAAGTCAGGGGTGAGCCAGGTGTGAGTGTCTGCAGGTCCCCTTTTCTGTCTCCCTTCCCATGCCATTCTCCTTCCTTCACAAGAAAGAATGACAACTTGACAGAGCTTAAGGACTAAAAACAGCCTTAAATAATGCAGCAGCAATTGCAAATTTTCTGAATAAACTGTGATATGTCTCTTGGAATATCCTTTTGTCAAGAACACAGGTCAAAATAAAACATCGGAAGATTGTCACCACGTGTTTTCTGACTGCTGAGGAACGGGACCATCTTGCCCACAAACAAGCTCCCCCCTAGCCCTCCCGCCACCTCCAGCCTACTCTTTTCTTCCCCATCTCTTAGGGCATCTCTCAGGGTGATGCGATACCCACCCAAAGAACCCAGAAGTTCAAGCACCAAACCACAGTCTCGTCCTTCCTCAGCCATCTCTGCCATCAGCCCAATGTCCGCAAGAGGCCTCAGCTCCACGCTCTCTGTCTGACCACCCATCTGGGTCAGCCTCCATCTGTGCTTCCTCACTTCCTGCCCTTGGGCAGGGGCCTTTCTCTTGGCTCTATCTGGAGCCACATGATCTTCCATTTCTCAAAAATAATACTATCTTTTAAGTTCAAAGTCATGTTCCTTTTAGAAGTATTGAACAAGTTTGGAAAGAATAATTAAGAAAGCAATATTAATCTCTAACTCCATCACTTCTAGGAAACAATTGTTAGTTAATATGTTGCCATAATTTTCCAGGAATTTCTATATACATACTTATTCATATATCCTTAAGAAAATATCGTTAAAAAATTGAGATTATATTGAGTACAAAGTTACTTGTTCTACCTTTTTGAATGTTAATTACAGTGTGAACATTTCCCATCATCAATTATTCTTCAAAAAATAAGATTTACAATGACTGTGTCACAGTACATCATTGGGCTCCACCAGAATTTATTTACATATTCTGCCCCAGTTGGAGGTTATGAGTCTTAACAATTTTTGTTACCAAAAATACCTCTGTGATTAATATCATATAGATAGATAAATAGATAAATCTTTGTACCTGTAATAATTTTCTCTGAGTAATTCCTAAAAGAAGAGGTGTTGGGTCAAAGGGTGTGAAGTTTTCAATCTCTTGATTCATACCCACAACTTACTTGGCAGGAAGTTCATATAAATTTATTCCCACCCTTACCAGCTGTGTATGATATTACCTGCTTCACTGCAGTATAGTTAACAATATGTGTTAGAAAAATTCTTTGCCAGTTTCATGGGTGAAGAATGGTGTCTAATCAGTGGCCCTGCTAAAAGTAAGTGTGATTGTAAACTCCCAGTCCCCACAGCGTGAAGTCCAAACTCCGGTCATGGCATCAGAGGCCTGGCAGACATCTCTGCAGAAGCTTCGCCCTGGGTGGTCAGCTGTGGGCTGCGGGCTCTGCTGCTCTCTGCGCCTCTGTTCTGACCAACAGAGGAAGCAGGAAGAGGGACTGGAGGGTACCTGAGGCTTCAGACAAGGACTGTGCTTACCTACCGGGCGCAGGAGACTGGGCCTGCTGTGCGGCGGCTGAGCTCTCCCATCACACAAGATGGTACCATGGAGGCCAGAGGGGGCAGGGAATGGAGATGCTCTCAAGTCTGAGTCCGTTTCCTCCGTGTGTTCAAACCTAGGAAGAGGCTGAGCTCCAGGAAGATGTAGAAATGGTAGGGTGTTAGTAGGTGGGGTGAAGACGGGTGAAACAGAGTCTCCTCAAGGCCACATGAAGCCTGGATGCTCGGCACAGAGGCGATGGAGGGGCTGCTGCTAATGCGATAGAGGAAGCCAGACCCTCAGGTGCTCCGGGTGACCAGTGTCCCAGGGCCTGGGCTGGGCCGGAAATCTTGGAGGCTGGGCCTCATCACTGCCTCTGCGATCACCTCCCCAGGCGCTAGACTGTGCCTGTCATCTGCAAACTTCATCTGAGCCCTGCTCAGATTTGGGCAGGACCCCAGGCTCTGCCCTACGCTGATGTGTTTTCTGTTTAAGAAACTGGTGTGGGCATGGGGTTGGGTAGGGCCAGACCTTGAGACAGACTGAAAGCCGGTACTACCGGCTCTTAGAGCACCAGTGAAATAAAGCAGGAGGAGCACAGTGAGAGGTGCAGAGTGGGGAGACTTCCTGGAGGAGGTGTCATTCAAGACGGGCCTTGAGGTGGGGGGAGGGGTAAATTAGGAGCTGGGGGTTAACAGATTTATAGTACTATATATAAAATAGGAAAACAACAAGGACCTCATGTGTAGCTTAGGGAACTACATTTTAAAAATAAAAAGACGGGCCTTAAGGATCAGGCCGTCCTTTTACACATGGAGCTGTGTGCTGGGTGGGGCTGCCTTGTGGGAAGAGGCAAGAAGGGCACAGAGCTGGGCATTGCTGGGCGCACCGAGGCTCCTGCCGGGCGGGTGTGTGCTCTGGCAGGAGGAGTCTGTGGGGCACAGGGCGGGGGAGGGAGTTGGTCATGAGCCCCAGGGCCAGGTTGCAGGGGCCTGTAATGCCCCCAGTGAAGCCCTTCCACTTCGTCCTGAGAGCTCTGGGAGCTATTCAGGGGTCTCAGTCAAGAGAGAGACGTGATCAAATAGAGTTTTCCAGAAAGCCCTCTGGATGACCCTGGAGGGTAGATTGGGAGGAGCAAGACTGAAATCTTGAGGCCAGCCGGGAGGCTGGTGTGAAGATGCGGGGAGTGATGCTGAGAGCTGGCCCAGGGCTCTGCCTGGGGAAGGAACAAAGGCGGAATTGTGAGCTCGGATCTGTGGCAGGATCAGCGGGAGGTGGTGCTGCCTTTCTGGGTTGAAGATTCCAGACCCCCAACCCTGCGCCCTATCCACCCTCTCTGTAGGCGAAGGCAGACCTGACCTGCTAACCTGCAGGAGCCCTGGCCTCCCTCACCTAGAGGCCTGCATCCTGCCCCACACCTTCCTGGCGGCCTCCTTCACCTCCTTGTTCCTCAGGCTGTAGATGATGGGGTTCAGCATGGGTGTGACCACAGCATAGAGGACCGTGAAGACCTTGTCAGAGACACGGGCCTCCTTGCTCTTGGGTTTCATGTACATGAAGATCACGGTGCTGTAGAAAAGCATGACCACGGCCAGGTGTGCTGAACACGTAGAGAAGGCTTTGCGGCGCCCGGCGGCCGAGGGCACCCTCAGGGTGGTGGCCAGGATGAGCGTGTAGGACAGGCAGATGAAGGCCAGGGGCACGGGCAGCAGCAGGATGGCGCCCACCAGCAGGAAGGCCTCACTGATGGACGTGTCAGCGCAGGCCAGCTTCAGGACTGCCAGGATCTCGCAGGTGAAGTGGCTGACCACCCGGTGGCCACAGAAGGGCAGCCTCATGGCGATCACTGTCTCAGTCACCGACTTGAGGAGGCAGAGGACCCAGGCGGCTCCCGCCAGCAAGCAGCAGAGCCGGCGGCTCATCAGCACGGGGTACCTAAGCGGCCGGCAGACGGCCAGGTAGCGGTCGTAGGCCATGATGGCGAGCAGCAGACACTCTGTGGAGCCTGTCGACAGACTCAGACACATCTGCAGTGCGCAGCCAAGAAAGGAGATGGTCTTCTGCGCTGACAGCAGGTGGACGAGCATCAGGGGCACAAAAGTGGACGTGTAGCAGATGTCCAGGATGGCGAGGTTGCCCAGGAAGAAGTACATGGGTGTGTGCAGGCGGGCCTCCAGCACGCTGACTGCCACGATGCCTGTGTTCCCCAGCAGGGTCACCAGGTACATGGCTGAGCACAGAGGGAAGAGCAGGTGCTCCAGGGCAGGGTAACCTGAAAATCCTTTCAGGAAGAACTCAGACATGTCTGTGCTGTTGACGGGCTCCATATCTCAGAGCTCTGGCGGGATGCATGGCTGGGAGGCAGGGAAAGAGGGTGCAGGGTGGCGGGGAGCCCACAGAGTCTCTTTAGGGGTGAAGCGTATTGCTAGGGCCTTTTTGAGCCCTGACCCAGTTTCTCTCTGAGACTTTGGGCAGTCCCCACACTTCTTCCAGTTTTCAATAGATCCATGTGAAAAATGAGGATTGAGGTGGGTCAGAATTTCTCTAAGAGAGTGTTAATGGAAATGTGGGCAATCTGAAAAAGCAATTTGAAACAATGTTGGATTAATCAAAAGTAAATAATTTACTGCAGAACTACTCAGAGTCATTAACACACCACTGTGATTTTTGACTTTCTGAAAGTGATGTAGAGAGTAGGGTAGTTTCCAAACTTATTTGACCATAGATCCTCCTTTTACAGAGCACCCATTAACCTTCTGCAAATAAGTATTCTAGCAGCATCGTTTCGGGAACCATGGGCTGGATGGAAGGTCTTCAAATCTTAGAATCCCCTGTAAAGATTACATGAGAATCACCTGGAAAGTCTGTGAAAACAGTTTCTATCTCATTAAGTCTGAGTGATGCTGTTCTGTTGGTCAGGGGACCGCACTTTGAGACTCACTGGCCCAGATGGTCTCTGAGGGTCCTCCTGGCTTTCAGGAAGCCTTGAGCTGCATCTCATTGCTCCCACTGATGGAGGTGCCTGTCTCACTCATCCCCCAGCCTGCAGAACTCTGACTTGCCTCTGCACTCAGCTCTGGTCTCCATGCATGAAGCACACATTGTACTTTGCATTGGAGGGGCTGCTGGCCTCTGAGCCCATCAGGGGCTCATCCACCTGGGCGCCCAGAAGTCCTGCTTCATCAGCTACTGCGGACTGACCTTCAGAATCGATCTTCACCATATTTGTTGGAAGGACTGATGCTGAAGCTGAAGCTCCAATAACTCTGACCACCTAATGCAAAGAGCTGACTCATTAGAAAAGACCCTGATGCTGGGAAAGAGTGAAGGCGGGAGGAGAAGAGGAAGACAGAGGATGAGATGGTTGGATGGCACCACTGACTCAACAGACACGAGTTTGACCTGGCTCTGGGAGTTGATGATGGACAGCGAAGCCTGGCATGCTGCAGTCCATGGGGTTGCAAAGAGTTGGACACGACTGAGCAACTGAACTGACTACTGATGTGTTTTTGAATGACAATTTGATGGACCTTTCAGCCCACCTCCTATTTTCTCTTAACCTGAGCCAGGGCTGCTTGGGCTTCATGAAGTCCTAGGCATCAAATTGGAATAAGCCCTGAGAGATTAATCCATTGGAGCTCCCATTGTGCAGGTAGGGAAACTGAGGCTGCACAGTGGGTTCCTGGTGAGATGAGTCTAAAATCCTGTTCTCCCAGCAGCATGACAGCTGTACGGAGCTCACGGCAGAAGTTTGCTTCTGTTAAACCCCAAATGTTGGTTGTTCTTTCATCACCCTAGATGGACTCGCTGACTGCCACGATGCCTGTGTTCCCCAGCAGGGTCACCAGGTACATGGCTGAGCACAGAGGGAAGAGCAGGTGCTCCAGGGCAGGGTAACCTGAAAATCCTTTCAGGAAGAACTCAGACACGTCTGTGCTGTTGACGGGCTCCATATCTCAGAGCTCTGGCGGGATGCATGGCTGGGAGGCAGGGAAAGAGGATGCAGGGTGGCGGGGAGCCCACAGAGTCTCTTTAGGGGTGAAGTGTATTGCTAGGGCCTTTTTGAGCCCTGACCCAGTTTCTCTCTGAGACTTTGGGCAGTCCCCACACTTCTTCCAGTTTTCAATAGATCCATGTGAAAAATGAGGATTGAGGTGGGTCAGAATTTCTCTAAGAGAGTGTTAATGGAAATGTGGGCAATCTGAAAAAGCAATTTGAAACAATGTTGGATTAATCAAAAGTAAATAATTTACTGCAGAACTACTCAGAGTCATTAACACACCACTGTGATTTTTGACTTTCTGAAAGTGATGTAGAGAGTAGGGTAGTTTCCAAACTTATTTGACCATAGATCCTCCTTTTACAGAGCACCCATTAACCTTCTGCAAATAAGTATTCTAGCAGCATCGTTTCGGGAACCATGGGCTGGATGGAAGGTCTTCAAATCTTAGAATCCCCTGTAAAGATTACATGAGAATCACCTGGAAAGTCTGTGAAAACAGTTTCTATCTCATTAAGTCTGAGTGATGCTGTTCTGTTGGTCAGGGGACCGCACTTTGAGACTCACTGGCCCAGATGGTCTCTGAGGGTCCTCCTGGCTTTCAGGAAGCCTTGAGCTGCATCTCATTGCTCCCACTGATGGAGGTGCCTGTCTCACTCATCCCCCAGCCTGCAGAACTCTGACTTGCCTCTGCACTCAGCTCTGGTCTCCATGCATGAAGCACACATTGTACTTTGCATTGGAGGGGCTGCTGGCCTCTGAGCCCATCAGGGGCTCATCCACCTGGGCGCCCAGAAGTCCTGCTTCATCAGCTACTGCGGACTGACCTTCAGAATCGATCTTCACCATATTTGTTGGAAGGACTGATGCTGAAGCTGAAGCTCCAATAACTCTGACCACCTAATGCAAAGAGCTGACTCATTAGAAAAGACCCTGATGCTGGGAAAGAGTGAAGGCGGGAGGAGAAGAGGAAGACAGAGGATGAGATGGTTGGATGGCACCACTGACTCAACAGACACGAGTTTGACCTGGCTCTGGGAGTTGATGATGGACAGCGAAGCCTGGCATGCTGCAGTCCATGGGGTTGCAAAGAGTTGGACACGACTGAGCAACTGAACTGACTACTGATGTGTTTTTGAATGACAATTTGATGGACCTTTCAGCCCACCTCCTATTTTCTCTTAACCTGAGCCAGGGCTGCTTGGGCTTCATGAAGTCCTAGGCATCAAATTGGAATAAGCCCTGAGAGATTAATCCATTGGAGCTCCCATTGTGCAGGTAGGGAAACTGAGGCTGCACAGTGGGTTCCTGGTGAGATGAGTCTAAAATCCTGTTCTCCCAGCAGCATGACAGCTGTACGGAGCTCACGGCAGAAGTTTGCTTCTGTTAAACCCCAAATGTTGGTTGTTCTTTCATCACCCTAGATGGACGTCTTTCTCCTGACAGTCTCCCCCTACTCCCAATCTTCTCACAAGCTAAGGAGCAGAACTTGAACTTTCCCTAGTGTTTCAGGCTCTTGGAACCCATGGGACACACTGTCCAAGCCTGGGTCTGGGTTGGGCACCAGTTCCTCAACGCTGCCCTTGCAGGAGACAATTTCCTTCTGTTAGACCTACCATGTTTATTCCTTTCAGAATCGAGAAGGGATTGAGTTTCTATCATACTCCAGACATGGTGCTAGGCATTAGGGGAAGGAATGGGAACACGTGTGCCCCAAGGTCAGGAAGCCGCAACCATCCGCTGGTAAAAATCCTCTCCAGTTCCTACCTGAGCCTCATCCTGCTTCTGTGTGATGCCTCTAGTGACGGGAAGATGACTCCCTTAGACACACTTTTCTTTTTGCTGTCAGGCCACTCGAAGCATCACAAAATCCTTCCTGATGTGGACTCTCTCTGGGTCTCCCTGGGCCTCCTCCACCACAGGGCTGGGGCCCCTGTGGACTATGCGCTCACATGCACAGATGCGGGGTCCCGAGCTTTGCGTGCTGCCTCGGGGGCGGAGGGGCCTTTCTGCAGCAAAAAGAGCACTGGCCTTGCCCTGGCATCTCAGATAGAGGGTCTTGCCTCAGTTTGACTGTGTCTAGAGCCGTTGCAGGGTCAGGAGAGCGTGAGCTGTGAGCTCCCTTCAAGTTTCAGCAGGGAAACTCCAGGCTGGCTTCCTGGAGAGGCACCCTGGACGGAGTACCAGTGGCAGCAGGGGCCGTGCCAGGGTTGGGGGGCACAGAGGCGGTGGGCACTGTGCTGCAGGCCCGGCGGCTGGTTCAGGCCATAGCCTCCTCCTTCGCATAGTTCGGTGGACCACATACCTTATCCCCTAAAGGCACTGGCAGCTGTCTGCGGTCAGTGGCTGCAGATACACCTGTCAGAATCTACATACACACACACAGGTCGCCACCCGGGCAACTGCCTGCCTGTACACCCAAACACGCGACTGGCAGCCAGATGCACACTTCACCTGTGAGGATACACACCACAGCGGGCTCATGTGTGTGCATGCACAGTCCCGGCTCGAGTGTATGTGCGGCAGGCACTCACTCTTGTTCTCTTTCACACACACACACACACACACACACACACACACACACCCAGTAGAGCAGGCCCTTGGACCCGTGGCCAGAGCTTCAGAGGAACAGGTAGGACAGAGGGGGTCTGTGACCAGGTGGGGGCCCTGGGAGTATCACGGGGGAAGCAGCAGCCCTGCGGCTGGGAAGCCATCTCTGCCTGGGATGAACCCTGAGGACAAATAGAGCTCGGGCCCGGGACATGGTGAGCAGCCTGCTCCGAGCTTCATCTGCCTTCCGGCCTGAGTGCTGAGAACCTGAGAATCTGAGCTGTTCAGCCTTCTCTCCTAGACTGGGGGCCGAGAAGAGCCAGGACGAGGGATGTGGCTGCAGGCTGTGGGACACTGGTTCCCAGAGCTGGGCCAGGGAGCTTCGTTTGCAGAGCCCACAGTGTCTTTCTGCGTATCTTCTGGCCAAATGCTCTCTGAAAACCAGTTCAAGTGCCACTTCCCCTGGAGAGCCTCCCTTGATCCTCTCCCAGGCCACCCAAGCCCTCTGTCCTGTATGCATCATGGCCGTGGGTGTGCACCTGGAGGATGGTGCTCACCTTCCTCCCTGGCTTCCAGCCGGTTGCTTAGCCCCACCAGCCCGCAGGGAGGTCGCCCTCTCCCCTCCTCACCCAGATTCTCAAGGCCAAGTTGAAGCCCCCAGCCTGGCCACAGCCAGCTTCTTCCTGTCCCATTGCCACTTCCTGAGGCTAAGACACATTGGGAGAGAGCAGCTGGCCGCTCACTCCAAGCTGTTCCTAGCCTGGATGACACCTGTCTGAACTGGGAGGGGGCCTGCAGATCAGCAAGACCACCCCTTGTTAGGGGTGG